AAAAAAAAAAGAAGGGGGGGGGGGGGGGGGGGGAGGGGAGTAATAAGACCTTAGTTTAGTTAAAGTATCTCTGAAATTTCGGTCATAAACTAGGGGGTACTTGTGCCTCATCCCTTATTTTAATGGATTATCATAAATGTTAGAAATAATTTTCTAGTTCTTTATTTATGATATTTTTGTAAGAGATTTCTATATCTGCACATAATAGATCTTTATTTATATAAATAAAAAATTTAAAAAGATTTTTTTTAAATTTAAACTAAAGAGGGCAATAGATCTCATTTTCTCGGTTAATTATCTGTTCAGCTCATACAAAAGCAATATGCTTGCATGGTTGTGATTTCAGTTTTCCAACTTTTACAAGATGCTCCTTAAAGTTCAATAAAGAAAATGAAGCAAAAATATAATGGTAGGCCAAATGAAATAAATCTTAGGTTTATATTTTTATTCATTTTGAGATCAATATTGAATGTAACAAAAAAATGTTATATTTTGTCCCCCATGATCTTTTTTTTTTCTCGCACTCCTAGACCATGACATAAATATAGTTTCGACTCACCATGATAACTCAATTAAACTCTTTGTTTTGGCCAACACTATTCAAGGTGCACCCGGAGTGATTCTGATACCATTTGTAGTAACGTGATCCACTAGTGATATTATTTGTTTTGAATCTAAGTTTATACTTTGAAATGTGTAATCGTCTAATTTAAAATGTTAAGTTATTAAAGAGAATATATTTTTATTATTTAATTATATACTCAATACGCACACCTTTAAAACCATCGTTATGGTCTAAGATTTGTTTTCTTATATAACTAACATATAAGGTGGACATTATTTTTAATTTTTATATACTAGTAGATGTTGTATTTCATTTACCTTTTGATGTGCTTATTTCTATCATATCTTAAATCTCCAAAAAAATTCTCGCTCCGACACTAGTCGAGATCCTAAGCTGTCAGTTCAAGCCCTGAAAATGGATATTTCTCTTGGTAAAAAGCGCTATATCCACTTAATCAGTCTAATCAACGCGAATACAAATTAATTGAGCTAGTAAATTTAGAATATTGGATGCTTTGATTAACCAAAAAATAAAAACAATAAAAGAGTAAAAGAAAGTGATGCATAAGACAACATGATATATTTAACTAAAATGGATAAAAAGGAAATTTGCTAAAATCAGAAATCTTAACAAACTACTGCTAAAAAAGCAGCTAGCTCGGTACATAAAGTATCTCGTATTTAATCAGGATTCAGGCAAAGGCCCTACTACATATTGGAATTTTAACTAATTTTTTTTCTGGATTAGATTCCATCCAATAATAGATTTATTTTAAATTAAATTTCAAATGTATTCTTCATGAATAGAACTCATAGGAGGATGAATCAGCAACAATATTTCTCAATCCACCAACTGTGGAGGCTATCATAATAAATACTCCAATAAATATGCATGCCTGAAAATTAATAAAAATGACAAACATTATATTAGTACAACTTTAGAAAACAAAAATTAGATTGAAAATAATTCAAAGGTCCAATTATAATTGATTCGAGTTTAACTTATGTCATTAACGACATACATGATGGATAAATTTAACATGTATGCATTGACAGTGTAAAGGAATTTTTATACAACATGTGTATTCTAACCAACTGTGGTTCCATTTTTATGGACGATTGTAATTATCTTCTAAGTGATTGACATTATAAATTCTTTTTTTTGGTCAGTGTGTAAGAACACGAAAAATATGACTATTTACTTGATACAACATGTTAAAATATATTGATAATATAAAAATTCTTTACACTGTCAGTGTATATGATATGAAACTTATTGATTTACTTTAAAATCATTGAAGCAGAGGAAGAAAATGAGAATTTTTTTTGGACTTACCCAATTTATCCACCATGAGGTACTGAATCTTCTTGGTTTCTTGACCTTAAGCCACATTATGCTTGGGAGCTACAACAAATATTAAAATTAAAAAAAGTCAAAGACATTTTGATTATTAAAGTTGGTCCAAAAAGCTATATATGTTGCTCGGACTCTTTAAATATATTGACAGGTGCATGTCTGATTCTTAAAAAGTAGTATATTTTTGCAGAATCCGGCATAGATGCCGAAATATTTTAGGAGAGCCCGAACAACGTAATAAAAGATTTAGAAACTTGACTTACAAAGTAAGAAGTAGGAGCAAATCCAAATCCTCCAAAGAAACCAAGAAGATCACCAAAGAAAGGGAATGTTACACCAAAAAACAAAGTGAAAGCTGCAATATTAACAAGACAATGCCTTTTCAGCTGAGATCATAATCAGATGCGGATTCAGAATTTAAATTTAATGAATTTGACTTTCAAGATTCTTAGCATTCATGTACTCATTGTAAACGTTAAAATTATGAGTTCAGATCTAATATTTCTTGATATTATCTTATAAGGTTTCACACATTATGTCTAAGTTACGCGTTCAAATGAACTCGTAGCCCAAAAGCCTACATCCGCCCCTGATCATAGTATAGTGAAACGAAGGGCTAACAACTCGTTAAAACTTGATTTTGGGACGATTGGACTAGAAAATATGTAACGAAAAAGCCCCTCACCAACGTATGTAGTACGAACGATGAATCTCAGCAGTACACCAGGTGGGAAATTCCATGTTTTCACCAATTTTTGCTCCATCAGATCAAATACTGGCATAGCATAAACCTGCAACATCAATCATTTTCCTTGTTATATACCTTGAGCTACAACACTCATCGCGTCTAGTAAGAACAATGCATAATGAAATCACGAGTTTTCATTGGCTCGTGTATTCGAGTACCTGATAGCTGCCTATGACATGGACAACCACCATTAAGTTAGCAGCTGCAATGAGCCAAGATGGCCTTTCAAGTCCCACGAGCACGTTGTCATTGACATCTTGACCAAACGCCCAGTACCCGATGAATGCAACAGGGAAATAACACAGGGCATTGACAAAATAAGCCCATACAGCACCTTTCCACATTGGTACTCTGGAAGGCTTTTCAGGTGTTGATGGAATTGTAGCCTGAATCTCAAGGACAACCGCGTGGCCTGCATAAGCAAACGATACTTGGCCTAACGCGTTGAAGACACGGAACATGTAGTCCACTGGACTTGTTGCCTTGTACGCGTAGCTCACGTTAGGGACTCTGCCTTTTCCCACACAACCCACCCATGCTATAGTTGAATAGCTGCAGCACAACAGATTGAGATGAAAGTTTGTAACATATAGTCTAATCTATGTTGCTCCGACTCATCAAAAATGTTTCTACACTCGTGTCAGATCCTCCAAAAATGCACTATTTCTCTAGAGGGTCAAACACACACACATCCACATCTTTTAAGAGTCTGAACAAAAGTTCAGATAGTCAACCAACTGAGCTACTAAGATTCCGTAAAAAATAATCATAATTTTAATAACAGCTATCGAAACCACATAGAATCTAATACATAATAAGAATATTGAACAGAGATACTCTGCTACCATGAGTTTCAACTTCTTTTGTACCAAAAAGTAGATAAAAATAGTCTGCTATAAAGTTAGTGCACAACTTTTTCTTAAAGTTGTTCGGTTGTCACGACCCAAAATCTCATTAGGCAGTGAGGGCATCCACTATCCCAGTAGGCGAACCCCATTGCTTTATTAACAACTTAACTAATGCGGAAATAATATAAAATTAATCAACCGACTTTTATAAATGTGGAATAAACGAGTCAAACCAAACTACCCCAAGACATGGTGACACCAGTATAAGAGCATCTACGAATGTAAACAAGTTCAGAAAAGCTAAAATAACTGTCTAGAAAGAAATAAGAAGCGGCGGAGCTAGAAATTCATATAATCAAGAAAATAAGTTACCTTAGAGACATGATTGCAGCAGCTAATGAAACACCAGAAACAGCATTGAAATTTGGCAATTGTGAAAGAAAGAAATGAATGGCACCAAAGATGCAAATCCAATAAGATTGTCGAATTCGAGTGCAATTAGTACAAGCAATCTCCATGAATTTCATCAAACATTTTCCTCCAGTAACCATGTACACTATGTCACAACCAACCTGAACTATCAGTTGTTGTGGAAGCACAATCCATGCCCCAAGTTTTGGTCCAAAAACATGTTTTCCAAGGTCCTTGTATCGATCAAAACGAACCCCGGGCACACATTCATGGAGTTGAATCATTTGCCACATTGTGTTCAAAGTTATACACCATGATAAGATCATCACTACTATCCCTGGACCCCTGATGAACATATAATCAAAATAAATCCAACGAAAACATGATTCAGTAATATATAAAAACACGTTCTCTCTAACAGTTTAAAGTTTTCAGACGAACTTCAACATGGTATCAGAGCTGCCAGAAGTGCCTAGGGAAAGAATCAGACTAACAAGTGAGAGAAGCATAAAAGCATTTTTGTTTTTCTCAAAACGAGATGATCACACAATTCAACATGGTAATCAGAGCATACATGCTGAAGACGTAATGAAACAAAAAAATATGTTTTGTGTCACAACTTAAGCTTTTAGACGAAATGATCATACAATTCAACAAAATCGAACATTTTTTTCAAGGATCAATACAACAACAACATCATAGTGAAAAACTCTGCATGTTTAGTATATACATACCATCCTAAGTAAGCCATGGCATAAGGTAGGCTAAGAACACCAGCACCAACCATGGCAGTGACAGTATGAAACGTCGAATACCACCATTTCGCTTCGCGAGGTGGACCATCTTCTGCCCATTTTTCATCTGAAGGAACTTCCTGCAAAATCAAGATTCATGAACAAAAAACAAGTTTTTTATTTTTTTTAATGTCTATTCAAGAAACAAGCTAAGGTTGTAATTTCAAGAAAAATTGTAATAAGTTCACCTTTGGAGCTGGTGGAGGAGAAGATGAAACCATGTTTGCAAATGAAATAAGAAAAAGAGACAAAGAATGTGTGAGTTTGTTTGAGCAAACAAGAACAGGTATTTGTACTAGTTCTTGTCACTAATACTTGAGTGGAATAAAGATTAAACAAGTCACTTTTACTGGCTGCTTTTCCTATTTGTAATTCTTTAAATCACCAAAGAGTTTAATTTCTATAAACTAAATATCGTTTGATTTGCGAAGTTAATAATCAAAAGCACATCTAAATTATTATTTTTTCCCGCAAGTTTCACACTTTAACTGTTATACATATGTAGTTATTTTTTCTTGTAGACTTTGCACTGTTTTTCTTATTAACTGTTATGCTTTTTTCATTGGTTTCTTCTTCCTTTACTTGGGTTTTTCATATTTTATCACATACATATATGTAGTGATAAAATTTGCGTACACTCTATCCTCCCCAGACCCCACTTAATAGGATTTCACAAAGTAAATTGTTGTCAGTTGTCACACCTCAACTATATATTGTTCCTTTTACCTACATAAACGATATATCACTATCAATATATTAAAACACACTTCATTGAGTAGTTGATGGTACATAGTGTACACATTGTTTTTTGTTAAAATAGGGTGTCCACCTAAACTTTCACACATTTTCGAGTTTTATATCTCAACTATATATCCAATGTTTTCGTTATTCGTAATAGTACTATTAGCTCTAAGAGACATCAGGTGGACCAATTATTATCGAGTAGTTCAAATATTTGGCCTTAAAATATAATGTATAGATCATAATATTGAGATTAGTAATCTTGGTTAATACTATATCAAAAATATTCATCAGCGGTAATAACTTAAATATATTATTTTAGAGGCAATTATTAGTGACAATTTATTTTGACACTCTTTATAAATGTTCCTAAAGAGTAAAACCTATAGAGACATTAAATTCAATGACAATTAATTAATGTCAATATAAGCTTTAACACTCTTTGTTAATATACATATTTATTGTTGCTAAGCTGTTTTGATTGTAGAGTTATTGCTTTGAATCGAAATATATCATGACTATAAATATTATTACATCCATATCGGATAGATTACGTTGTTCAAACCCTTCATAAATGTTACTGCATCCATGTTGGATTCCTAAAAAATACAATTTTTTTAAAGATCCAAACACATGCCAAATAATATTTTTGAAGAAGTCGAATAATATCTAAGATAATGTAGTTATAGTACTTGCAAATCCATAAAGAAAATGTCAGAAATATAGTACAAAATTCAAGTTATGTCTACCTAATATTAGTGAACTACCAACAACAAAAAAGAGAGGAAAAATTCTTTTCCAAGCAGCATATGCTATGAGAGCCAATGACTCAACACTTTTGCTTCATTATTAGGTTCATATTATAAAATTCTTTAATTAATTGGAGTTCAAGATTCTTGAACCCCTTTTAGTTTGTGTTAATATCACTTTTGGTTCATAATTGATTAATCCTAATTTTAATCTTTCTGATATCTGACTAAGTACATTATATGCCTCTGAAACATGCATATATTCTCAATCCATTTGCTTATGAATATTTTATTAATCTATATAGATATCAATTGTCTTATCACTTAATTATTGTTACTTCATAGTTCTAAAAACAATTTTAATATAACATAGTTTATACAAAAGAGATCAAAACACATATTTTGGAAGGATTAAAATCAAAATCTATCAATAATAATTAAGAGACCAAAAATACTATTATCCCTTTTTTTTAGTGGAAAAAAAAACTATAAGCTCCAAATATGGTCATTTTCATGTAAAGACTTGAAAATAAAGAATTTCAATATTTCATGACTTGACTAATGATAGTAAAAAAAAAGTTTTTTAGTTGGTAGGTGATTTGTTCTTATCTTGGCATCATTATAATGGTTAACTTTATAGAGAAGCAATTTTGTACCACCACATAATCTATTAAAAAGATTAGAAGATGTATGTTCATTAAAGGGTATTGCATTTTTTGTGAAGTGTCCCATTTACTAGGGATTCTACAAAATCAATCATGACATAAAATCAAATAGCATTGGGGGGATTAATTTGAGTATAAATTATTAGGGTATGTAAAGTATATATTCAACCACAAACCCCACACTAGCAAAAAGAAGGAAAAAAGCAAAGAATTTGCACTATTAGAGGCTAGGGAAAAAATTAATATATAAAATTCCCACCATATAGATCAATATCCTTAGACAAAATTAGAATAGAATAAAACAGATGCACAAAACATAAAATAGAAAGAAATTAGTCTCACTCACTTTATATGATGTAGTTTTATCATTTAGACAAAAAGAGGTTTTACATAAAAAAAAATTAAATATTTTAAGTTGTGAATTATTGTAACTATAATATTTTTTTATATATAATTTCTAACTATGTAAATATTTTAAAATTCGAATTCACACAATTTATTTTTAGATAATTGACTCCTATACTCCTAATCAGCTCACATAAAATGAGACGGAGGGAGTAATATAAAAACTTCCCACCAAATCAATATCCTTAGACAAAACTAGGAGGGAATAAAATAGATATACATAAAAGTAAAAACAAGGAATAAAGACAGAGATTCTCAAAACTATAGAATATAAAAAATTGATTGACAGTAGTTTATCATGAAAAAGAACCATTGGTTACAAATTTTAAAAAGTCATTATAACTCACAAAGTAAGAACCACAAAAGATTTTATTTTTTAAAAAATCAAATAAAGAAAACACAGCTCGCATGCAAAAAAGAAACAAAAGGGAGAACAAAAACAACCAATTAAGATATGACGTAACTATGTGATTTAGTGGTTAATAAAGTGAATAAAATTTACGAGATGTTACCAACCAACTCTCATTAGGGATAAAAATATTAGGCAATTTGTTCTAATTTGACTAAGTTAGATTGGAGATGTCCATTTGATCAAACTTTAATATTTGTACGTATTTAATAGATTTCTTTATACAGAATTATTACTAAACCAAACCTAGCTTATATTGTTCATCCTCTCTTGGTGCCCGATATCTATGCTAGTGGATATTGAGGAGGCGTAACTTTTACTAAAGGAATTCAAAATACAGGAAAGTAAACATACAAAAGAAGTTAAGAAGATTTAACATGTTATTATACGTTACATTAAAAAAAACTTATCCATACAATACAACTTTTAGTAAAAACATTTCGAACGAATCAATGTGCCCCTTTAGCTCCCCCCTACTTGTAGGACATATATAGCTAATACTGTCAAAATAATTGAAGTACGCACAAATTTACTTAAATATCACTTTAAAATAAAAAACAAGAAAAAGAATAAATAAAACATAGGGATATAAAGTAGTAATTAACAACCTTTGACAATGTCAGATAGTTTTCTTGAGCAGTTGAGTCTATTGCAATAAAGAACAGTGAGTAAATATGTTCAATTGAATTTTTTTCAGCATTTTTGAGGACCTTTTACTCTCTTTGTATTTTTCTTAGTCATAACTCACAAATTTATTATGATGCACTTGTTCCAATGAAGTGTCAAATTCCAGTGTATTGAAAGTTGGTGTATTAAACTCACATACATTAATAGTTAATGACAACGTTCGATAACAGAGTCAGAAATTTGACGCAGAATATGCTAGTTTTGTTAAAAAATTTCAACAAAGAGTGTTGCATAGGACCATTTTTTGCCTAAGGTGGCTCCGCCCATGACAATGTCATCTACATCTTCTGTCCATCTTTACTTGTTCATGTTAAACTTCAACACTCTTTATAAAGTAAAATGATAATTTTATTATATCACCTTTCGAATGAAATTAATAAAAATATTCTTTTTATTTATAATTTTTCAAAAGGTTTGTAAAGAAAAAATTGGGAATAAATTCTACTACCTACACTCTTTACCAAAAATTATTTTTAAGAAATTAGACACTTTTTAACTTTCAAAAAGCTTAATCAACCATACTATAGTCTATACTAGTAAAATGCAATAATGTTTATTTTGGGAACTTGTGCCTAGAGAAATGAAATTGACCATAAAAGCTGCACTAGATGGACACTTAATTTAGTTGATCATTTTTAATTGTTTTGGGGTATAAGAATCCAACATGTGAAAGGAGTTGTGTTTGTGATTTGTCTTAAGAAGAAAGGTGGGGCATTTACATTCATCATATTCAAAGTTTCCACAAAATAAAGAGAAAACATCTTTTTTCTTGTATTGATTTTGTTCGGAAGGGCCCTCTTATTTTAATGGCCTTATTTAATCAGTACTTTTTTGTCCCAACAAATTTGAATTTGAAGATTTCAAATGGGATAGTTATGTGTCTAAAGGCCATTCGATAGATACATCAATCAAAGATCTTACTTATCAGATAATTTTCCTAGTGAAGGAGCAAGTTTGACAAGCTAAGAAAGTCTCGTTGAAAGCAGGAATCGAAGCTATCTAATTTACAAAATATGTACATATAATATACATACATGCATTTGTTGTGTATATTTGTAAATTAGTTAGCCGAACAGTACATTTGTGTAAGAAGCCCAATTAATTCCATGAAATACCCACCACCTCCCACCAGCAACAGGTAACTTTGTTAACCAAAGCTAGAACAAATGAGAAAGAAGCACCAATCATTTTTTTGTCTTTCTCGTTGTTAGGTTGGGGCACCTTGGACATCTAGGAAAAATCATGTTTTTTTTTATCTAAAGAATTAAACCTGAGATCTCATATTGCTCAACCTACGTCATTGATCACTGGATCACACCAGTAGATCTTATGTTATCTAGAGAAAAATCTATGATCTCGAAAAAAGTTGAAAGATAAAAAGGTAAATATAACAAAAATGAAACTTTTGTTTCTTCAACCTGTAAATCCAATAGTTTCAACAGGAATAACTAACAAGCATTCCACAATGTGAGGTTTGGGTTTGAGGATGAAGAACAATAGTCATATTGGGCAAGCCAATTTCTCCAACAGTGCATGAAAAAAGAGTTCAAAATTCAATAGCTAAGTAGTAGAAATTTCTGCTGCTTTAGCTTGATGAAAATTTCTGCTATGGCTGGTAGTCAAATTCATTGTTACATTTAA